GGAATTGAATTAATGGTATCTAGGAAATAATATATGTCCTTTGGAAGAATGGTCCAACACTTAGAAAAAAAATGAGGCGGGTGAACAGTAAAAACGCTCACTGGAAATTGTCTTTCCTGCCGGACATATTTTACGAAAATGGGCATAACTTCTTCGTCCGAACTCCGAATGAGGTGAAACGAAGTGCGTTAGGTAGCTAACTCAAAGGGCTTTCCATGGATATATTATTGGCCACCCAAATAATTTGTGTGCTAGGAGATATGACCCTCCAAAGTAGACCCTCGAAAAGGCTTCACTTGGAAATTTCGGATTTTGATACGGTTGCTCTAAAATTTGGGTTAGACCCATTTCCCACTCAATTTGACCCCCTAAACAAGAATATGAAGTCGGATTTTCAAAAAACGAAACGGATCTTTTTATATACAGCTAAACAAGTTTCCGGTAACTTCCGAAGCACATTTTTAAGAACTTTTTTTGGGTCAAATTCAAATATAATCATTTCATTAAGTTCTCGACTCCAAACTCACATGTGAGGCTCTAGTTTCACTCTATCATTTTCCGAGTCGTTACATCAACGACGCGCTTGATGTTGATCCTAGTTACCTATGTCTGCATCATTAAAAGACGCAGGCCAAATTGCATCAGTACATTGAATGTAAGAGTATGCGAGGGGAAATCTAAAACATGACATAAGTTTGAAAGGAACTGAAAGAAACACTTATCTTGGCTTTATTCAACTCATGAACAACTTAACTCAATATAAAGCAATAAAACACATGCAATATATAGAAAGCCTTTAAAATAGTAGAAAACAACTTAGTTCGTTAAAGAAAATGCAATAACAAACTCAACTTTACTCATATAATAAAGAAATATATTTTATGTGGGAGTTTCTCTAACCGACAACCACCACTATGAGCCTAAGTGGTGATACAACGTCTTGCCCACGCTGCCAGAACTATCCTATACTTTGCCGTCATATAGAACGCCTTAACTAAGTGGATCCCCTAGTCTATGCTAAAAAACACTTAAGGAGAAAACAACTTAGTTCGTTAAAGAAAATGCAATAACAAATTCAATTTTACTCATATAATAAAGAAATATAGTTTTTGTGGGAGTTTCTCTAACCGACAACCACCACTATGAGCCTAAGTGGTGATACAACGTCTTGCCCATGCTGCCAGAACTATCCTATACTTTGTTGTCATATAGGATGCCTTAACTCAGTGGATCCACTAGTCTATGCTAAAAAGCACTTAAGGAGTCATCTAAAAAGTATGATCCTTTACTACCCATGATGGCTACATGGTTTATGGAGACGTGAATTATCTGAACTCAAACTCGTCCCCATATCGGTGCTCAATACTACTCCCAAAATACTCAGCTCATATGTTTAAAAATATAACTTCTTTCTTTGATTTGAGATAATTACTCAAAACTTAGCTTAAAAGCTCTCTTGGAATCGATGTTCCCTTTCTTGCTCAAATGTGAAAACATTTACTCTTTAACTGAAAACTAGCTCAAAGGCTCTTTTGGAAATCAAGGTTTCCTTTCTTCTTTAAATGTGAAAACATTTTACTCTTTGGGAATACATAGTCCCGATATACTCTTTTGAAGAAATGAACTTCAAACTTTACTCTTTTCTCAACTCAAAACTCAAGTCTTAAAACAAAGTTAAAACATTTGTAAAAGACTTTTGGAAGACTCTATGAACTTCTCTTGACTTGGCTCTTAACTTCTCTTGACTTGACTCTTAACTTATCTTGACTTGACTCTTAACTTCCTTTGACTTGACTCCTAACTTTCCTTGAATTGAATTATGGATTTAAGGATTTTGATTTGTGATAAGAAAGATCTCATGATGTTTAGGAGTGTTTTTAGATAGTTAAACATGAGAAAAGATCAAAAAATCATCGTCTGGGAGCAAGTCCGTGACGTGGAGATGCATTTAATTATTTGGTCGCGAAATAAATTTTGAGGCACAATGGTCCGTAACCGCTCCGCTCCGCGAAGACAACTTTTTCAATACTGAGGAACAGGTTCGCGACGCGGACCTGGTACCCAGATTTGCCCGACATTTTCCTTCTTCATTTTCCAGCCCCAATTCGCCTAAACTCGATTCCTTTTCCCAAATTCTCTTTAGATTCAGATACCCAACATGTATACACAAGGATCTAATCAAACACAACTCTAAAATCGACCTTAAACTCTCAAGAACTCCTCAATCTCATCCTAAATTCAAGAACAAAAGCAATTCAAGAATATAACTCAAGAACATCAAAGTCTCAATCTTTTAGGAAGAAAATCATACTGAAATAAACATGTTTGGCGCGTGGGTGAACGAACCCAACGCTATGTGAACTCACATACCTCGTAGGGATCACCCCTTGACGAAATCCACAAGCGATTCTTGAAGATCTTGACGATCCTTGCTCCTTCTCCTCTTCTTTTTCTGTTCTCTAAAATTCTAACTCTATATGGTAAAAGCGTAAACTGAATCCTATCAGTTTAGACCTCAATTAATTACCAAAAAATGAAATTAAGTCATGGGGGTATGAAAAAGACCATAATCCCCTTCAAAAACCTGGATTAGACTTTCCTTAATTGAACATCCTAACTTTCAATGGGCATATCTCACTTATACGTACTCAGAATCATGCAAACTCGGCGGTGTTCGAAAGATAAATCCAAGATATTTCCTATGGTAGCTGGAAGCACACCTAACTCACCCTGAACTAGGTGTTATGGTCGTTTGAAGTTGATCAAAAACCCAAACTTAACATAACTTAACAAATTTCCAGATTTTTCACTCTTTCTAATTCTAGCTCTTTCTAGTTCTTTTAGAAAGTGAGGTGTTACACTTGCATCCAAATTTAGTTGTACTTTTTTGGGATAATACGGATGATCTTTCAAAGGTTCTTCCTATTGAAATTTACGAAATTATAGTAATGATAAGAAAAAATTACATAAGAAGGCAAATATGTGATATGTATTTTACTATATGCAACTATAGTCTAAAAGAATTATGATTCCTAACCATAGTTAATGATTTTATAGAAAATTTCTCTCTCCTATATCTCTTGCCCCACTCTCGCATCTCTCTCTCTCGTCATTTCCTTTTTCTCTCTGCAATACAAATACAAATGGTAACAGTAAGTGATACAAATGGTAACACGTCGAAGATACAAATACAAACGGTAACACAAATACACATGGTGACATATAAATATAATACACAAGGTGACCGATAAATACAAATGCACATGACTACAAACATAATTTGTTATGAATTATAACAACGATACATTGTATTCCTCGATACAAGTTGTATTTGGATACAAATTGTATTCGTTGATATATTTGATATAATTGATTTGCATCAACGAGATGAATACAATAGTCTTTGATACCAATATATTTATTGATATAAATCAATTGTATTCATGATACAATTATTTGTCAGATATGCAAATCAATTGCATCTCTCACACCTCTCTCTCCCAGATCTCACCCTCCTCTCTTCTCCCTCTCCCAATCTCACACGTCTCTCTCCTCCTTCTAGTAGCTAGTTTTATTTTATACAAATTAATTATATCAATTGTTGGTGTTAATGCATTTTAATATTAAAATTAAAATATTAAGTGTATTTGTTAGTGGGTATAAGTTGACAAAAATGTGGTCATTATTGTGAAGTAACTCTTGTAACCACTATTGCCATGATATACCACTAATTTCACCCATTATTCTACCTCATTATACCTTGTAACTTTTGTAACCTTTGGGCGATTCATTTACCCAATTTACTACTCATTATCTTCCTATTCATTGTAAGGAAGAATTCTTTCCTATAAATAGTGATGTCTTGCTTTGAATTGTTAAGAAGATGAGATACAAGAGAAAGAGTGTAAGAAAAAATGAGAAGTGTTATATTGTGTATATTGAGTTAGTGTAGTGAAAGAAAGAGTTGAGACAAAAGAAAATATTCTTAGTCTTCAACTATATTCACTATACAAACAAGAGAATAATTATAAGTTGAAGAAGGTGTTCTTTTGTGGAGCTTTGGACTCTTCAACTAATTCAGAGTTGTTTCAGTTGTCCGACGTTGTTGGACTGTTGTATCCTAGAGGGGACAAGTCAAGAGTGATACTGCTGGATCGGTGTAGATTATGCCGCAGTGCGCTTGAATCTCCTTAAAGAGAGCGAGATATCCGCGCCTCAGCCTAAAGATTTATTCATTCTTTTTTGTCATTTTATTTTCAACTGTAACTTATTGTATTTGTGGTATATTACATCAACATCAATTATATTCGTGATACAATATCAATTAGATATACAAATAATATGGTTCTTTGCTATAGCTACGAATCGTTATTAAACAAACTATAGCAAAGAACCATATTATATTTCTACTCTTAGCTATTTTTGAAATTTCCTCTGATGACATAAAATCTTACCAAAACAGAGAGGACTAAAGATTCAACTTACTTTAATCACAAAGTCAAATCAAATAAATAAAATTTGTTCTTGAAGAAACGAAATAGTACAATTTATTTCATGAAAATACAACAAAGCAAATTACATCTTTATGGGAAACACAAAAATCAACAAGCAACCACCTCTTTCAAAGAGAACATGGAAATCCATTATTCACAACATATTACTTATATTGTTTGGATTTTTCCAAAAACATACCACAGTTGTGTGAATATTCTCCAAAAGTACATTACTATTGAAGAATCTGACACACACACTCGTTCATATATTTTAAGAATCTAAACAACATAGATATTACTGATTGACATGATGGGTGTCAACATCTTTGGTTAGATTAGTGGCTAATTGCAAATAAGAGAAGGGTTCTGGAATGTCTTCATTCTGCTTTTCATATTCAATAGTCCATATAACCAAGTTGTTATCTCCTTCATTCTCAATATGAAGAGTTGCTTTGAAGGCCTTGTATTCCTCTATCAAATGACCTTCAAATGCCTTGAATGTCACTAACCTTTTTTCCTTGTTTATGTCATCAACAACCACCTTAACAACTTTTTCCTGTCCCTCTATTTTTTTGTGAAAAAAAAAGGATGGAAAGTTACATATTTATACGAGATTGATACATTATATGCAATGTTTTTCTCTAAATATAATGTTGTATAAGAAATTTATGTTGGACGGTATATTTTTGAAGATTTTCTATTTATAAATGAACATAATCAAGAATACAAATAAATATTATTATCGGCTCAAAGAGAAGTAAAATTGTTGTGTGGTACACAAATTATATGATCGAATTATCCTTCAATTATTTTTGAAGTTTTTGTCCAAAATAATAGAGTTTGATTTGTGTATTTAATTTTACTTTTTATTTAGATGCAATGATTATTTCTTGTAACCGTGCATCTGGTTTTTTTATTTTTCGGGCCAAATTTATTTTAAAACATATTTGCTAGAGCCTATTGTTTTAGCCAAACAAAAAATTACTATATTATAGAAGAGTCTAGGAATGACTACCAATGTTCCAATAAGATCACTACTAATGTTGAATATATTTATAAAATATATAAGTGGGCCCCACCACCTTCCACTTAAATACTACATATTCTATATTAATTACTATACTATAAATGACTTAAATACTCCATATTATCTATTACAATAATTAACAATTATTTGACACTTTAAATTCTATCAATGCCATATAAATTAGGATAAAAAACCTAACATATAATATTTAAATATATTTAAAAATAATATAAGTAATACTATACATTACAATAATTAACAGCTTAATTATTTAAATATTTTTTTAATAATATATGTTATTTGCCATGTCCCAATTTATGTGGCATTAATAAAAAAGGGTTAATATTTAAAATTCTGCATGTGCCACATAAATTAGAACAAATAGAGTAATAAATATTATTTTCAAAATTATGTTAAAAAAAGTACTACAAATCACAATAGCTAACAATTTAAAATATTTTTAAAATCATATAAAAATTTCAATAACTTCTCAAATTCCATAATATAACACTTAAATACTACATATTATATATTAATTACTATACTATAAATGACTTAAATACTCCATATTATCTATTACAATAATTAACAATTATTTGACACTTTAAATTCTATCAATGCCATATAAATTAGGATAAAAAACCTAACATATAATATTTAAATATATTTAAAAATAATATAAGTAATACTATACATTACAATAATTAACAGCTTAATTATTTAAAACTTATATAAAAAATTTAATTGACTCTCTAAATTCTATTGGTACCACATAAAATGGATTATATGATAAACATATATTGTTTGAAATTGACGAAAAAGAAACAATAAATTACAATAATTAATAAAAAAAATAGTCGACGAAATTGACGAAAAACAAATTATAAATTACAATAATTAACAAAATAAATCTCTCGACTCCAACAAATCTATCAATTAATGCCCATGGCAAATAACATATATTATTAAAAAATTAGGTTCAAAATGTACTATAAAATACAAATAATTAACAACTTAATATATTAAAGAGACATATAAAAAATGGTTAATATTTGAAATTCTACGTGTGCCACATAAATTACAACAAACAGAGTAATAAATATTATTTTCAAAATTATGTAAAAAAAAAGTACTACAAATCACAATAGCTAACAATTTAAAATATTTTTAAAATCATATCAAATTTTCAATAACTTCTCTAATTTCTTAATATAACATAAATTAAAATAAAAAAATATATATATTGGGCCCCGTGCTGGCACGGGGTCCTATATCTAGTTTATTTATAATAATCGAGTTCTAATTATTATTTCTTTTTAATTATCTGTAGATGGAATGACTACTACTGCAACTACTTCTTCTTCTTCTTTTCTTTATAAAAAAAATCAAATATTTTGAAGTAAGCTTTAGTTAACTATATTTGTTCCATTCCAAGGTCAACTACAAATGCCTACTTTTAAAATTAGGCTAATTGGGAGGAAGAATGGTCCTATTTTTCGATTATAAATAGAGAAATTATTATAAATAATCGTCAATCAGAATAAATAATAGTGAACATACGATTCAATTAAAAGAAGTGATAAGAAAATATTACCGATAGTATAATTCCAGTTGACAATGGAGCCAACAGTACCCCAATCACCTTCATGTAAATCAACAGCTTGAATAGTTTGTGGTACAACATTTGGAAGATGATGTGTTTTTTCACAAAACATTTCATGAAACAAATCCTTACAACCTTTTATTTCTGTTTCAGAAATCAATTTTCCTTTCAAACCCATTTTTTTTTAAAAAAAATTGATTCTGTAATATAGAAATAAAAGTATTATTGGAAAAAATTGATGTATAATAAATCAGAAATGGAAGTCCTTATATAGTTGAACTTTGGGGCATAGATTATTATAATTATTTTCTACAAGTTGAGTATTTTTATTAATATAAGGGATAAGGCATAAATATTCCTAGATTATAACCGAAATCTTAGAGATATAATTTAACTAAACTAAGATTCTATTACCTTCGAATCTATTTTTATTTGTAGTTTTGTACACCTTTTTTACTTGCGTGGAATCCAAACATTCCTCACACGTTTCAACTGTGTAAATCAAAAGATGCATAAAATTATAAAACAAATGAGTCGAGAAATAATAGGACCTTAATTTAATTAAGATGTGTCTATGAAATTTTGATCATAGTCTAGGAGTACTTATACTTTATCCCTTAATATAATATTATATAACATAATATAATAAATCTGACAACTTAAATTTGTTGAGACGTGGTGGTTTTGTGATTTAGCAATAAACGTGATATTGATGACTATGACAATTGAATTATTGTATTAGAAAAACCAAATATAGTATTTTCAAAAAAATATTCAGATTTTACTTAGTCCGTCCAGATATTTGATTAGCTCATACTTAAGAAGTAGTTGTCATGATATCATTGATGATGCTTCAGATAATAATTTTGATACAAGATCTGGGTGACAATGAAACCATAGAAAATTTATTATTTTTCTGTTTCAAGATAAATGACATTTTAATTCAATTCACATCCACCAAAAGAAAAATACAAGATATTCTTTCTATTTATTTTTATTTGTTATATCTAACTTCAACATATCTGTTACGAAAATAATAATTAACATGATTATTTTATTACAATATACTATTATTTAATATTTTGTATTACCTCTTAAAAGTGATTTAGTTATAAATAATTAATGTTAGGGATAAAATATAAAAAAATATAATTGTCTTTTTTTATTGGGAAAACGGACAAATATACCCCCGAACTATCGTAAATGATATGCAGATACCCTCCGTCATACTTTTGGGACATTGGTGCCCCTGTCGTCCAAAAACTAGAGCATATATGCCATTCACGCTAACGGAAGACTAAATAGGGACACGCGGCACAATCTTATCCATCGATCCGATATTTAGTATATGTCGAGTCGGTGGATAAGATTATGACACGTGTATGTACGTTAGTATAAAGAGTATAAAGGGTATATCATGTGCTCTAGTTTTTGGACGGCAGGGGCACCAATGTCCCAAAAGTATGACGGAGGGTATCTGCATACCATTTACAATAGTTCGAGGGTATATTTGTCCGTTTTCCCTTTTTATTTATTAAAAGTGACAAATAAAAAATAGTGAATAAGTAAAAAAGAACATAAGGAATACTTCTTTCGTTTTAATATATTTTTCATATTTGATCAGACACATAATTTAACAAAGTAAAGAATTTTTTTAAATTTTGTAGTCTTAAGTTAAAAATATGTCAAATATACTAAAGAAAAAAAATAATTTTGTAATTTTAAATATATCACGTGGAATGTTAAAATAAAAGAGTTACAAAAAAAAAGACTTATTTTTACAACGAACGATAAAAGAAAGTAGGACAAATAAAGTGAAATAGATAAAATATAATTTATCCATATTTATTAGATATTTCTTTAGAATGAGGCATATATTTTTTCTAGCTATAAAAAATCAATTAATTAAGAGTTATTATGAAAAGAGACTAATCTAGGCAATATAGTGCCTATCCCGTTTCTATTAAATACAAGAATAATAAAGACGGAACAATAAGATATATCATCAAGCTTTCAAAAATATTTAGCTCGCATTTTTTACCTGCTAACTTATTAACGATAAACACTTGTAGTCTTATTAGTATTTATTGAATTATCCTTTTGAATATTAGGTTGCTAGTAT